TCTCTCCCTGCATTGGATCTCTCACAACTAAAGAAACTCTTCCAATTATTCTGCATCTGTGCCTCCTCTGCCCATGTGGCTGAAAAGAAGAACCTTTACTTATGCTCTCTGACTCATTCTGTCCACCTCTCTCTCTCTCTCTCTCTTTCTCTCTCACATGTCAAAGGTATTGGACAGAGCCCCATCACTCCAGAGAACGCAGATCTATCTATCTATCTATCTATCTATCTATCTATCTATCTATCTATCTATCTATCTATCTATCTATCTATCTATCCATCCATCCATCCATCCAGCCATCCATCCATCCATCCATTTTCTCTGTATCTCATTTTTTGCCCTTTTCTTCTCTCTCTCTCTCTCTCTCTCTTTCTCTCTATCTATCTTTTTGATTCTCTCTATTGCTCTGTCTCTCCCAAGAAAGAGCCTTTACTTTTGCTCTCTGATTCATTCTGTCCACCTCTCGCTCTTTCTTTCTCTCTCTCTCTTCAGAGAACGCAATTCCATTACTCCACAGTCCAGTGCCATGATGCTTTATACCCTTCTACCTGACCCTTACCATCGATCATGTTGATCTATCTATCTATCTATCTATCTATCTATCTATCTATCTGTCTGTCTATCCGTCTATCTGTCTGTCTGTCTATACAACTCTTTTTTCTATATCCCCTCCATATTTCTCTCTCTCTCTCTCTCTCTCTCTCTCTCTCTCTCTCTCTCTCTCTCTCCCTCCAACTATCTTTCTCCCTCTTTCTCCTCTTTTTTCTCTATCTTTATTTTTCTTTTTTCTGTTTCTCTCTCTCTATCTCTGCCATACTCCTCTCTCTCTGTCTCTCTCTCTCTCTCTCTCTCTCTCTCTCTCTCTCTCACTCTCTCTTTGCTGAGGGTGAGAGAGCAACAGAAAAATCAGTTCAGCAGTAGAAACTGATAGAGAAGTGAGGCGTGGGTGAAACATTAGTGATGAATGTAAATATTAAGTGAATGCACATATTACCCAGTGCACATTACCATTATTTGCGCAGCCTGCGGGAGTTGGCCAAGTTGAATTTATCGTTCTACCAAGAGCATTTCATTACAATTGAAAGCCGTTTAATTGTGTAGTGTGAGAGAGAATGAAGAGCACAGTGGGGGAAAGAGCTCTAGATCAAATGAAGTAAAACCTTATGAATGTGACATTGATTAAGATGCATGTGATGAATTAAGAAAAGCCCTCGACATTTTTCTCTTCCAGTGTTTCACTGTAACACTCTCTCTCCCTCTCGTGTTCTCTCTCAGAGCATGACTAAGCCTATATTGGTCTCCATAGGAGATGACTCGGGTTAAACGCTGTGGGCCAGAAAAATCCTTCAAGAAATAAATGATTCATTTAAAGAAATGATTCATTCAACAACCTACAACTCATAATAGGCCTACATTCAGAGTTCAGCACCACAGATTCAGTAAGATTAAACAGAAGATGAGAATGTAAAATAAACCTTATAAAAAAGATGTTCTGGTCCTAAAATCTGATTGGCTGAGCCGCATTTGAAGTGTCCAAATGCACGATATATGCACATCTATGACTGACTCACAGCAACTGAACTCTGTATTACTGCACCAGGAAAAATCTTTGTACTGTTAATGGAATAAACTTTGGCCTCTTTTCCACTAACACCAATTTCTAATTGTTAAACGGTGCTGCTAACCAGGAAAGTGTAACTGGTGAGCGTTAGCTTTGCTAGCATGTGGCCAGCTCTGCTCACCACAGAACAGGTTCGATTCTGGCTAACAAAAGCTTTTCTAACACAAATGTAAATGATGATGCAAATCTGAGGAATCAAAGTAGAGCTGCTGATGACGAACAGAATAAAATTGAAGTGTATCTCTGGTGTCTGGAGCTGGAGCCTCCTAGCTAAGCTACTGCTAGCCAGCTCCTCTCTCCTAGCTAATTTAGCTTAGCTAAAGAGATCCAAACACCCCAGTGCAGGTTTGATTAGTTTAACTGGTGCTCTGCTATCACAAGTATAGATGATAAAAACTTATAACAGTGAAAGTAAAGTCGACTGATTGGCAGTGGAGTGACAGAAAGCTGACCTGTAGTGCTTCAAGCTGTAGCCTGCTAGGCTAAACTAATGCGGTGTGTACGGTGCTTCCCACCACAACACAAGCTTGGTTCTAACAAACCCATGATTAAAAACACCTGTTTTTAGAGGATAAAGACTCATATCTGAGACCACAATCTTGGAAAGACTGCTGTTGAAGTGACAGAAAAATAAAAAATGCACTCGTTGGTGTTTTGAGCTGTATGCTGCTTGGCAACACTAATGCTAGTGTAGTTAGCCGGCTACAGGTGAAACCTACCACAGAACAGGCTGTTTCAGTAAGAGAGGCTCAAATATCACCCGTTTAGAGGATAAAGAATCTGAGAGCACGAAGAGAGACTGGAGGTGGAGCTGAATCAAACATGTTTTGTGGTGGATGCTGTATGAGTAGCTATTAGCCAGTTAGAAGTGCCACTTGTTTGTGTAGTTTTTTTCAGTATTTCCTGGTTCTGATTCAGTGGGACAACAGATGGAAAAAGAAACCGTAATTGGTCTAACAAGACTGGACCAGCGCAGAACGCTCCTGAGAACCATTTGGCTCAACAGTGGAAAGGAGGCCTTTGACTTTAATGCTGCTTGCATGGACCACTGACTGTACTGAGCCTTTTTCTTTGAATAAGGGGCTTATAACTTATTATTTTAACTAGAACTAGGCTGGTCAGCTAGCTAACAGGCTAAAAGATAGTCAACAGGCTAAAAAAAACTCCATTACTAATATCACAGGCTTCAATTAAAGTACTTCAAATGTCCAGGTTTCAGTCAGAAGTAGCACAAAGCCCAGGCTGAATCCCAAATGGCTCTGTACTCCCTAAATAGTGTGCTATGTAAGATTTGAAATTTTAGCTTTAGGCCAAATACTATTTGAACTATTTGTTGAATATGGATGTGACTGAATCCCAAATGATTTTTTTTAGCTATGTTAAGTGCTGTTGTGGTGCAGGAGCCAATATTTACATTCCTATGTGGAGCACTATGTAAAAAGTGGACAGTTATTTGAGATTCAGAGAGGCACTGCTGGATTGGTGCTATACAAGACTTGCAGTGGTAATCTGGTGAGCAAAAAGTACTTATAAACGAAGGTCATAAAAAAGCTAAAAAGATAATGAAATGACTGCAGTATACAGTTATGGGAGAGAGGTCATCGGTTACTATTATTTTATCACAGGGAGGGGAGTTTTTAGGCACTGTGCTTCATGTCGTGCCTAAGAACACCCCTTCCATGATAAAACTCATGGCCTCTCATGGCTTATTGCTTTAATAAGCAAACCATTAAAAACAATGTTTCAACAAAGCCTTTCAAAGTTAACAGTCAGAGCAGTTAACATCCCCCTCAAACAAATTTAGCTCCTAACTTCTTAAGAAGAAAGGTCTTTTTAACACCCACTTATGCAGCTTTCATGAAGATTCTGATATTCACCAAAGTTTTCTTATTTGGGATTTGGGTCTCACTTTATTTGTATAGTCCACTATAGTCCCCTACAGATTATCTACAGATGTTCAAATTGTTAACTATCTGTTGAAACTTGATTCTAAACAGTGGTGGGGTTAGGATTTGGACCCGGGTTAGTGCTAGGACCAGGGTGAGGGTTTTAGGTTGAGGTTAAGGTTAGGGTTAGGATTAGAGCCAGGATTAGAGTTAAAGAAAATTATGGCCAATTTAGTAGATATTTAGTTGAATCTAACTTGAAAGTAAATTAAATATCTACAAAGCATCTAAAGTGCACTATCCAAATTGACCTTTTCCTATGACCTTTCTCAAGAACAAATTTAAGGAAAAACATAGGAAGATGTTGGTGAGTGAGGCCCATTTTTCTTTTCCTAGAAAAGCAGAGGACAGCAAGGACATTAGCCTTCTTTTCTCAAGCTTTGATCTCTGAGAAAGACTCTGAGATTTTCACACATAAACACACATACACATTCTCTCCAGCACAAGAAATGGCAGAATCTTGTTCGAAATCCACCCCTGGGAACAAGGGAATACCCAACACCAAGCTGGCTTGTTTTCCCTGTTTTTCATCTGCTATTTCATTTTCTCTCATTCCATTTGTTTTTGTGTATATTCCATCACTCAGTATTCGCCTTTCCACCTCTTCTATTAAAGCTTTATTCGATTTTAACAGAAATTTTCCCAAAACCATCCCATCACCAAGAATTCCACATCACCTAAAGCTGCCCTGATTATCCTGTACTTCACACTGTTACACATTCATATATACCTACCATGAAATTCAATGTAATGATCAAGTCTCTCAAGTCTATTAACTTCTTGTTAAAGCCCACCATTCTTAAGATTAAGAGGATTTAGTGGCCTTATCCAATCACCCTTGAGACTTCGGGCAAATCAACATTAAGTCAAGGGCAATCATTTTTGATGGAGGAGGCTCTTGGGTGAGTTCTTACTATGATTGCTCTGATCTATTTTGCAAGTTAAACAGGAAATATCATTACTAACTCTTTAGTCTCATGCCTTTATTGCTGTACCCTTGAAATTCAACCAAGCAATCTTGTCCAAATTATGTGTCATTAATGCTTAAGTGATTCTCGAACAAGTTATTTTATGGCAGACTGCAGTAAAAGATGCAGTGAAAGAGAACTGAAGGAAACATTTAAGAAACTGTGTGAGTGAGCAACACCTGACAACCTAATTCTGAGAGTTTGAGAACAAAATACAAGCCCTCAGCAGGAGAGAACTGACAGATCTACCAGAGCTCAGACGAAAAACAACACGCTTTCTTGGGACTGCCCTATTCGACTGAGAGAAAAGCATGACTGTGTCAACAAACACTAAAACAAACACATAAACCACTCATAGCAACTGAGAAAATAATATTTCACAGTTATAAGTGCAAGCTTTCTCTACTAAACAAAACAAGATGAAAGCCATAAAGAATCACATCTGAAATGCGCAAAAGAACTTACTTGGGACTCTGTTGATGGCTTTGAGAGGTCGCAGTACCCTGACTGTCCTGATGGCTGTGAAATTTATGTTCTGAAGGTCCAGAGAGTATTCCACAACCCTAGAAAGACAAGGTTATAAGACATGATAAGTGACACAGTACAGGCTAGTCATAAATGTGCTATTCACAGAAAATAATAAATGTCATAGTGGTGTACCCCAGGGCTCTCCTTTAGGACCTATGTTTTTTTTTTTGTTTTTTTTTTGTTTTTTCTGTTGTTTACTCCTATAAAAAGCAAATTTAAGACAACTGGCTTCCACATCATAAAGCAAATATAGATTGAGGATGGTGGTGAATGATTCATTCAATTTCCACAAGTATTTTCTCATTGCAGAGTCAATAAGTAATAGGTTGATATGAAAAAAATAATAATTGTAGAATAATAACCAAGAATTCCACCTTATCTAAAGCTGCTGTGAGTATCTTGAGACTTACTTCAGACCATTGCACGTTCATATATACCTACCTTGAGATTCAACATGAAATTTATGTAATACGCTTCCCTTTTCAAAGACATGATTTCACTTCTTACAATGCATCTGGATAGTGACTGCTTGGCTACCGCAAAGCTTTTGGAGATCTTCTATGACAGTGATGTCTTACTGTGCTTGGAGAAAGAGAAATGTTTAAAACATGGAACGGATATTAGTCAATTATCTCCCTAAGCATATTAACTCCTATTATAATCTCATGACATGCCATACATCATGCCCCACTTCTGCTGCACAGCTGCACATTTCCATATAGTACAGTTGCATATATGCACTGATCTGCTTTCCAGCATTCCTTTGAAGACCAGAGTAATGCATATATAATCTACAGCTCAGTTAAGTTTAACCACCGGCAGTCTTCCAAATATAGGATGACGCCCCATCCTTTGGGAAAGCCTACTGATAAAGCTAATAACTCAAAGCCGGTGGATTCGCTCAGCAAGCGGAGAAAAGTGCCAACTCGGGCTCTTTCCACTGGACCCTGCTACTTCAGGTAAGAGATGGGGCTCAAAGAAATTGATGTCAATTCGAACCATAACAAGCCAGATTTCACAGCAATTTCAGGCACACTCTAGTGATCATTAGAGACCATGAGGATCCTGAGAGGAACGTGTATGTGTGTGTGGTGCAGACCAGGTAAATTCGATCTGCAGACAGGGTGTGTAACGAGGGTGAAAAGCATGTCAGTCTGCTGCCCCAAACTGCTGTAGGCTTTCGGAGATTGCAGAAACACATGGTGTCATCCAAGCCCACCAAGACTATCTGCCCATCCTTTCGTTTGTGTGAAATAGGGTTTAAAAGAACATCACTATGTGTATTTGTTAGTTACTCAACAAGTTGAAGTAGGTGCCTAAAGAGTGATCATTACAAATGACTAATTACTTTGGTCTCACTTTATTTGGATAGTCCACTATAGTCCCCTATTGATTATCTACAGATGATCAAATTGATGATCAGATGATCAATCTGTTGAAACTCAGTTGATTCTAATCAGTGGTGGGATTAGGGTTAAGATTTGAACCAGGGTTGGGGCTAGATCCAAGGTAAGGTTTGGTTTTAGGTTTTGGGTTGAGGTTAAGGTTAGGGTTAGGATTAGAGTCAGGTTTAGAGTTAAAGAAAATTCTGGTTAATTTAGTAGATATTTAGATGAATGTAACTTGAATGTAACTATCTATAAAGCATCTAAAGTGGACTATCCAAATGGAATTTACGCATTAGTGGACAAGGTGATCTTACTACTCATTACTTTACTTCCAAGTTACTCTCTAAAACCCTAAAAGTACAAATCTTTTCCAAATGGAAGGGACAAAGGAAATATCCAATAGTCTTTGCAAACTCTTGCCACAAGGTTTGAAGCATATAATGGTCTAAAATGTCTTTGCAAGGTGCAGCATTAACATTACTCTTCAGTGGAGCTCAGGGGCTGAGCCCAAACCCTGAAAAACACGCCCATTATCCCTCCTCCATCAAACTTTACTGTTGGTACTATGCATTCGGGTAGGTAGCACTCTCCTGCCATCTGCCAAACCCAGATTCATCCATCAGACTGCCAGATAGTGATGCACGATTCGTCAGCACTCCAGATGCTTCCATTTCACAATAATAGCACTCATCAATGCTTGCAGCAAAGGTGGCATCCTATGACAGTGCCACGTTTAAAGTCACTGAGCTCTTCAGTCTGATCCATTCTACTGTCACTTGTTTGTTAATGAAGATTGCATGGCTACTTGCTTGATTTTATACATTTGTTAACATAGGATGTGACTTAAACTGTGTTTATTCCGTGGAAAGCATGTTATTATTTAGGTTCAGCTTCATGTGAGCCATGCATTCACATAAGAAAATCAAGTGGGGGGCACTGACAAAAATGGTCATTTTAATCAGTTATATCTGGATCTGTATTTGTATCTGTTTATACATCATCTGTTCATTCTGCACTGCACTTGCATATCCAGTTTCAGGCGCAGGCTAACAGACACCGCTGGACTGCTGTTTCTAATCTGGGCCCTCTCCGAATGGTGGCATAAATATTTGAGGTGACTCTCAGGCCTGTCTTTGAACTGGGTGGTCTGGAGCTTTTCAGGGATGCGCAGCAGAGAGAAAACTGCTGCCTTCTCCTTTCTGACTGTATTCCTGCAGTGTTTATAGAGCTGCTGGAGCTGGAAAAAAACACAGGAGCTTCTTCAGTCACTGTGCTGAGGGATGCTTTAAAAGACTCCTACTAATCAGCGAATTACTGTGGTTTTGTTCCACACCATATTTGTCTGTAAATATTTTGAGACTGTTTCTATGGGATACCTTATCAAAACAATATAGAGATGCATTGTGGGGGTTAACATCCAGTTGTCCCTGGTAAAATAATGATAATAAGTATTAGCTTACTTTAAAATACTAAAGGCAGCAGGTTGCATGGATGTGCTGGTTTGTGTCAGTTTAACTAAGGCGACGTTTTTTAATTAAAAAGAGCTCATGGGTTATTTCTTTTATCAAGTACACTGGTTTGCGCTCAGTCACATCTGATTCAGCTTACTGGATTTAGTGCCAAGTTCAGCTCAAGTTCAAAAAATTCTGAGAAGATTTTGGACAACATGCTGCATTAAGAATTAAAGAGCAGAAATGTGGTTTTTGAATGCAACATTGGTTGTGTACATATTGCTATTGTTACAATGCCAAGCTAGTCACAATACAAGAATGCTTTTTGATGCTATATTATAGAGGACCAGATTTGCCAAATTGAAAAATAAATAAAATTAAAAATAAATGACTTAGTAAATTAATATATGAAGTTGAATTGCAAAGAATAATGATGATGAACCTAAAAATAAATAAATATGCATAACAATTAATATATTAATAAATAAAATCTTATATAAATTAATATGTCTGCATTTATTTATATGTCTATTTAGTAATTTCCCCTTCTCAATAAATTTTGTATTTCTTTTTTTTTGTTATTTGTTTCTTTATTATTTTTTTTTTCTGTTTTACTATTAATTTATTTTATTAATTTATTTCCATAACTATTAATCTCTATATTTATTTATTTCTCTATTTATTTCTGTATTCCCTTGTCCTTATGCTAATAAAGGGGCTGTCAGTCAATGATGTCACAGCGTCTTAATATTCCTATTGGTTGATCGATTGTACATGTCTTGCTCTCTCAGCGGTAACTAAGGACAAGACAGTACAATAATGGCTTCTTACAGGCAGCAGACAGTCAGAGATCTGAGAGTCTCGGCTGATCTGGCTGAAAATGCAGGTCCGGATTATTCACTCTTTCCTGTGGAGGCTGTGGGGACAGTTTGCTCCATTTAGCTGATCTGCTGATACAGAGGTCGATCTGTAGTGTTCAGAACTTTGGAGGAGGTGGTTCAGCGTCTTTTTCTGTAAAATTCAGATCACTCAGACATTTGGACGCCCTTCTCACACACTGCCTGTGGAGCCATCGAGAGTTATTTATTGGCAGGTTTGTCTGTCTGTGACTCTGCAGCTCTTTATGGAGTGAAAGAACAGTTTTATCAGCTCTTCTCCTGCTGGGCTTTATTGCTAAGCCTGAACGTGAAAAATACGCCCCCTCATTATCATATGAACGACAAAATACAGAAATAAATAAATGAATGAATGAAAAATAAATAAATAAATGAATATATGCATCAATGAATAAAGCTAACAATTGTTAGAAACATAGATATGGAAAAAAATATAAAAATGGCATTAATAAAACAAAATAAATAATAGAGAAATAAATAAATTGAGAAATATATAACTGCAGAAAAAGGAAATATGTGTATAATTACAATCACAGTAAGCAATATATACTTTATTTAAGTTTTTTTTTTTTATTTATTTATTAATTTACTGAGCCTTTTATTTTTTAATTTTATTTATTTTTCAATTTGGCAAATCTGGTCCTCCATACTATATAGGACAATATACTACACTGTACACCGAAATATATATGACACATTTTCCAGCAATCTGAAGAACCATTTCACCACGCAAATGGTTCTTTGAGTGTTCCTAGTGAAGCTATGTCTCTACTGAAGAACCCTTGAAGAACCATTTTTATAGAGTATAGAGACAGCATCAATCTGATTCTGGGTGTCAGCAGAAAATGCTGGATGCTAAAGTTAGATGGAAAAGCAGAACAGATGTGATCCAATTCTGTAACAAACCTGCCCTGAAACAGTACACATTCACATTGTGTGATGTGATGCTGTTAGTTTTGTGGTTCTTCCCCTGGGGTTAACAGTAGTTGAGTAGTATATTAATTGATTGAGTAGTGTATTAATATATATTCATGTATTTATTTTTTTTTTTACCCTTCCAACCTTCCAAATAAATGTATTTTTATTATTATTATTATTATTATTATTATTATTATTATAAGCACTACTCAAAAACTTAGTATTAGATATTTAGATAACAAACAACAGAAAACAAAACAGCAAAATGATGATCAGTGTATGAAGCTGAAGTTGGCTTTTTATATACATTTTCTATTCCAACTTAAAAGGCGCATCACAATGTAAGCACAGATGTGGAACAGAATTCTAATATAAAGTCAAC